AAAAAAAAAAAAAAAAAAAAAAGAAAAAATGTGGTTGACCTTACTGACGTGGAATTGCCTTTATTGGCTAACGTGTGGTTCCTCGTGGATCCTCGTAAATCCGATACTCGGTGAGCAAGTAGATCTCGTCGGCGGTGGGAACGAAAGTTTCACTCCCGGTTGGACGAAAAGTGCGGAGAACGACGAGACGAAGGGCGTGTTCGACGCTTTCAATTCGACGCAATTCCCGTTCAATTCCATCGATCGTGATCGCGATCTCATGGACGAGGTGGAACACATCGAACCTAGGCATTGGCCAGTCAGGCCAGATATTTTGTACACGCGTACAAAGCTTGTCCCATCGACCACGGAGCCATTGCCACGGAAGCCGCTCGATCCATCTACATTCGCCCGAAGGAATTCGTCGACGCAGCGGTACCTCTTGAATTTTTACAAATTTTTACAAACATTAAAGAAGAGGAAGAGAGAAAAAAAAAATTCGTCAAAGTCCCGTTTGAAATAAATTTCTTTTTGTCTCAAGGTATCCACCGATCGCACCGCCGCTACCCACAGCATCGATAGACGAGGTTTTCTGCGACTTCGGATCATTCCCAGCGCAGACACTCTGCGAGTGGCAAAATGGTGATAGCGCGATAGACTGGTTGGCAGGAACTGGTATGGGCACCAATTGGATAGGTGGCCCCCCGAGCGACTACACCACTGGCACCATGGAAGGAGGGTACGATCCTTCGGTATATTAATTTCCAACATCACACAAAGTAACTCAGATTTGAATCAGGTATGCCTTCTTGGAGACGTCGCAGTTGCCACGAAAAGATAGTAAAACAAAAATTCTGGGAGGATTGCTGCACAGTCCTCAACTGGGAAGCACAGGAGTTGTTGGGACCTGTGTCATGTTCAAATACAGCATAGATGGTCTCAGCGTCGCTGGCCTGAGGGTTCTCCTTCACGTGGGCACTGACGAATACTCGATTAAAAAAGAACAGACGGAGGAAATCACGCCGGAGAACGCAACCGTACCGTCTTGCAAGCCGCTGGACGTTTTTGACGAACGTGTCATTTGGAACGCGCAGTACTACACACTGGGCATTTGGCAGCAAACCCAGTTGCTATACACTTATCCCGAGTTACACTCGGTAATTGGATAATTTTTTTCCTTTAAGAGAAGTACCATGGTTTTGATGTGAGAAGTATTGTGACTGTCATACTGAAATCCAGTTCTTTGCCTTTAGTTGATCATCGAGGGGATCCCCGTGGATTCTACTGACCCAGCTCACCTGTACAGAGGCTACATAGCCATCGACGACATAGATTTACAACCAGGCACCTCGTGCATTGGTTTCTGCAACTTTGCTGGCGGATTTTGCGATTGGGCCAATGACGCAGAGGATGATTTCGATTGGACGATTGTGAGTTCGCCTACGACTATAACTATTACAGTATTATACTATACTATAATACTACACTAGTAATTTTTTTTTTTTTTACGTGGAGGAAATCTTCATAAGACACCTGAGTCTTTTAAGGGAAGAGCACGTCGGAAGAGCTCCGGGACCTTTTTATACACGCAGAGCTCTTCCGTGTTGTTCTCCCAAAGAACAATATCTTTTTTTTTTGCCCGAACAGAGGCCTCGAACCCTGGACCCTCAGATTAAGAGTCTGATGCTCTACCGACTGAGCTATCCCCACCTCCCAATACTACACTAGTATAGTATAATATCAGTATAGTGTAATATTATTATATATAATGTATATAAATAGTATAATGTATATAAATGTATAGAGCCGAGGAAGTGGGAATCCTACAACAGGACCAGCAATGGACAGTTCGACAGACCGATCAACAGCCGGTGGATACGCCTATATAGATTCCTCCTTTCCTCGTCGACCGGGTGACAGAGCTAGACTCGTTAGCACCAGCTTTCCCGCGCCAAGTGCCGACGCACCGATGTGCATGCACTTCTGGTTCCACATGTTCGGCTCTGGAATCGGTACGTTGAAGCTGTTCGTTCGCCATTTTCGTAGTTTGGACGCGCCCCTTCGAGAAATCTGGAGCCTGAGCGGAAACGCGGGGAACACGTGGTTCGTCGCTCAAATCACCATCAGCTCGTTGGACGATTTTCAGCTTCTTTTCGAAGCGTCTGTGGGTAACACTGGCATGGGAGATATTGCCATTGACGACATTTCTTTTGCACAGGGAGCTTGTCCAGGTAAAAGTTCCGAAAATTTATAATTGATGTGAAGATCTGGTTAAAAGGAAAGCGGAGACGACCGTTGATTTTAGAAAATTCACTTCGTGGATGCTTACAGCTCTACCTCAGGTTGCTGTATCTACACCGCGAGACTGTACGTTCGAGGTCGACGAATGCGACTGGATCAATTCTCGAGATCCTGATCGAGTGGAATGGGAGAGAGTGTCCGTGCAGGCGTTGAATCCGAGAAACCAACGAAAACCGTACAGCAATGGGTATACAGTCAATCGAAGAAACGAGTATTTCCTTGGTTTGGGTCGCCCGAGAGGAGGGCCTCGATCATCCGGAGGCGGAACAGCACAACTCGTTAGTCGTGAAATGAAGGGCAGTGAGGAACCACTGTGTGTCACCTTCTGGTATTTCATGTTTGAATCATTTATTGATTCCACCGGTCCAAGTTTAGGTTTGTGTCGGTTTGTTATTTCTCATCTTGTCTCATCTTGTCTCATCTTGTCTCATCTTAGTGCCTGTAATAACAATGGAAATTTAAAGGGGTACTCCGTGTGTCTATACAAACAACCGAAGAATCACCAACCGAATCAAAGTCAGTCTGGCAGCTGTATAATAATCAAGGACCCACATGGAGCTACGCACAGATCAGTATAAATGAGAGGAAAAACTTCAATGTAGTTTTCGAGGGCACTTGGGGTCCTAATCGTGCTAGTGGCAGCATTGGCATTGACGATATCGCTTTTTATACTGGCAATTGTTCCGGTAAGCTTCACAAGTGTGCGAACATGTGTATATTTCTTCTTCAAATTAATTACGTTGTCAACAATGCGTAGTGAAACCACCTAGTGCATCTGTGAGACCAGAAGATTGCAGCTTTGAGAAAGGTTTATGTGGTTGGGAAAATATTACTTCCTCGGAGAACGAGCGTGCAGTCACTTGGCAGCGTGCGTTCCTCGCTCATCGTCCAGCTCAGCTGTTAGACAAAACTTTCGGAGCAACCGGAGACTTTGTTTTCTTTGACATTTTTACCACAAATAAACAATCAACAGATGTACAGTTACGATCGCCCGTGATTCAGACGTCGCCCGACGAGGAGTCCGTTTGTTTGACTTTTTGGTTCGCTGCCTTCGGTGTCGAGGAATCTACAACCTTGCAAATTATCAAAATGAATACCGACGAGGAAGCAGCGGGCGACGACGAAGAGAACAATGGGAAACAACAACCTGTAGATATTTGTAATCCTCCGAGATCTGCGGTTTTCTAAAAGTAATTTTCACTTGTTTTAGTTATGGTCGTTAACAGCGAAGGGATTTAACAATCCCAGACCTGTATGGACTGCCGCACAGGTGACGATAGATGCTCGTGTACCTTACCGTCTCATCTTAAGAGGAAGCGCCAGTAACGGGGGTTTTGCGATTGACGACATAAAGTTCCAGCCACAAAGTTGTGCAAGTAAGATTTTTTTTACTAAATAAAAGTATAAAACAGATAAGATATATTACATCTTGTTGCACATTTCAATTTTGCAGTTCGACCGGCTGCTGCTCAACCCGTTAACAATGGAACTTAAAAAGTGTAATGTAAATCGTATTTATGAAGTCTAATACTTTTTCTATTTTATCTCTTACAAACTCGAAATAAGGTAAACTCTTGTAAATAATGAACGCAAAATTCATTCAAGAACGAAAGTCGAGGATTTATTTGTACAGATACTTAACGTTTGTTAAAAAAATTCCTATCAAAGGAGACTTCCCTTCTTCAAAAATTGTCTCTTAATTTCAAAGACAACGATACCAAGTGCTACCCCTGCGTTTAAACTATCCACCCCTTTTGCTAGAGGTATATTGATACGAATACTCTTTCTTTCTTTCAAGAATTTAGAAGAACTAAAATTCAAACCTTCAGTTTCTCCGCTTAAGACAATTACAGATTCTTTCCTTGTATAATCTACAGAGTAATAAGGAATAATAGGTAGTTTTAACATGAACTGTCTCATCAGGTATTTATTTCTTGGTATCGTTTCCTCTGACTGGTTACTATCCAGAGTAAATTTCGTCTTTAGATCTTCTGGATCAATGTCAAATATTTGTAAACTTGACTTAAGTATTTCAGGTGAATACCTGGGCAAAAATTCATCGCCAAAATTGCTGTCCGCTACGAAAATGTGACTATCTTCGCTAATTAACGATGGAATCTCGTCCCACGTCGGGAACGTATAAATAGGCAGTTGGAAATGAGTGCCAGCTGCACTTCTGAGAACTTTCGGATCCCATAAATCTACGCATCCTGAACATAATTCAGTAATCATTCGTTTGTTTAAAAAATTGTTTATATATTATAATTTATGATTATAAATCCAATATTACAATACCTTTCATTAGGATTAATTTTTCACAGCCTACTGCTGCAATAGCTCTCATAATAGATCCTAAATTCCCTGGTTCTCTTATATTATCACAGATAACAGTAAGTGGTAATGCATTTTCAAGTGGTTTATTCTTTTGTACATCCGGAGTTTTGAAAATTCCTACATTGTGAAACAAAAACACAGGTAATATCATTGAAATATTAAATTTGTTGAAACAAGTGGCTTATACAGAGTGTTCAAAACCAAACTGCTAGGGCTACATGTAAAAAAAAGAAAAAAAATACAAAGTACAAGGTTTGTAAGAAAACACCTTGTTACAAATAAATATTGTATGTTTGAAATAGGTACCATTTGGTTTTTATTCGTAGGAAACTTTAAAAAGAAAAGATTTATTCAAGAGAAGTAACTTCACATGGAGAATTAGTGCACAAAATTAAACATCTAATTTCATTCATCACTTGGCAAAATTTTCAACATAGTATTATTAATTCTATGTTATTCACTGATATTAAGCTTGATTGAATTAAAAATTATTTTTTATTGTATTATTATAATTAATAATACGAAATTGTTAACACATGAAAAAAGACATGGACTTAACATGTACTTAACTGTCTGTAATTCACAAATACAATTTCTTTATAATTCTATAAAAAAGTGAATTTTTTCTTCTTTTTATGTGTAGATTAATAGATCAAGTTTAGGATACTTTGTATACTTAAAGTATATAATATTAATTACCTAATAAACCGGGAGAAGTGGTTAAAGTAGACCACAACTGTATCGTGTTATATGGAACTTTGTATAATTTAACTTCTTCTGGAAGTTCCAACGTAGCTAGCTCTGATAAATCATTGAAGATCATGGCATTTGGTATTGCACCAGATTTTATAGCATCTTTGATCAGTCTTTGTCCTTCCAAGATTATCTGGTCATTCTTTTCTCTTCTCTTTCGCGACTTTAGATTAGTCATCAAGAATCTACAAGAATGAAAATTTTCAAATAATCCTTTTCCAATTTATACATGCTTCGTTGTCTTCTCTATTTGAGATAATGATAAAATAATAAGAAGAAAAGAAGAAAAATAAATAACTTACGATACAATTTTATCATTTTCTTTAAGTTTCGTAAACAAATTCTTTTTCCTGGCATTCTCAGTTTCTTCATTTTTCTCTTCCTGGGGTTTCTTTTTCTTCGATTTTCTCGCAGAAGTTCTTCTCTCTCGACGAACTGGTAGCCGAGTAGTATCTTCACAATCAAACAACTCATCCTCGTTAACGATTGCAATCGGTTTTCGACTGACCCACCTTGCATACGTTCGTGTCACACACGAATTAACTGCATTCAATGCTTTTGCGTGTCGAGTCGGTTGAACAGCGTTACGTACGATATTTAGAAATATCATCGTTACCCACGTTGCTTCAAAGAAAGTATTTGCTTTTATTACTTGTAACTTTTACTTGAAAAATCACATGACCCTTTACTGATGATACTGCGAAACGTTGAACATTTTATTTATATTTTAATGAAAATATTTATTCAGAATGTTGTCATAAATTAATTCAAGAATACATTTTTTATTTAGGGAGCTTGAAAACGATAACGTTGAGGTTAGAGTACATCAGCATCAGACTGATTGAAATCTCATCGATGAGAGTTCATGCTAGCAGATGTCGACACTGGTCAATGAAACATTGACATGGAACTTGTCACGACACGTCTCTCCCCTGTGTTTGGAACTTACAAATGTCACGGTCACCGAATAATTACTAGTCTGTCTCATTCGCGATTCATGTGAATTATTATACTACACGACGGTACGTTGTTTCATTACTTTCAAAGTTACGAGTACCATCACCTTACATTCATCCGTTCGTCGCCCAAAAATTCAAATCGTGCGAAATATTCGAACGAGATGTTCCCGCGAAAATGTAAGTTCTTTCCTTATGATGATTTTTCGTCAGTATATGTTTACAGCACGTCCCGAAGCACGATCGAACGATGGAATCGAGTGAAATTGATAATTGGGACAGCATGGTTGATAGAAAGAGTCGTAAACTCAATTTGCCATAGCTAATATTGTCATAGTTATATTTCAAACATAAAAAGGAGAGTGTCGAGCGAAATGAACAGTTATAGGGCAGGAGATTCGAAGCGTGTTCTTACTAATTTATTTTAGTTGGAATTTGAGAGACAAATCTGGGTCCAAGTATCAAACTTGTCGATAATTAAAAGAGCACGTGCGTCAAAATCCAGAGGGTAAACAAAATAAATTACATTACAGTACACATATGACCCTTATTGATTTGCGTTGAGAAAAGATTTGATGCTCCGACCCGAACATGCCTTCCGCGCCTTAAATTAATTTCACCTGTAGAGTTTACATAAATACACTATTTCTAACATCATCCGGGATATAATTCTTCTTTTTTTTTTTTTAGTGATTTTTTTTTCACACATGTATACATGTTTGGTATGTATATGGCTGTACACATCTCGAAGAACAGAACTTCTTACATTGATACAGTCCAAAGGAAGATGAATAAATAGCTCAATAATCTGTATCCAAAGAGATTTCCAACCAGTCTCCAGATTGGATATCAGGCACTGATTCTGTTATTGAAGAATCTCAGCCGGAAAGATCCATTCTTTAAAACTTAATTAACACACCAGTCAACATAATAATAGTCAATAGGTAGTATAACAAATATATATTATATTATATTTGTGTGTACCTTGATATGCATGTAATGTACGCGTGGTTCTATGTGTATGCATAACATTGATATATATATAGTATATATAGTATATAGTATATATGTAGTATATATATTATATATATTTATAGTATATATAT